AGAGACCTTTGAGCACCAAATAACCCAGGGATGGGGAGTACTTCAGGGACATGCAATCCCTACCCCCCCAGGGCTGTGTTCTCAGACTCAGAATTTGCTGTTAAATGCCATCTGGATCAGAGTTAGTGGGGTGCCAGGACCTGCTCAGGGCACAGTGTGCTCACAACAGAGCCTCAGGGACCTGCGAGCAGCAGGCATCAGCTGTGTCAGCCTGTCACTGAGTACCTTCCCTTGGGACTCAGACTCTGAGCTGACCCCTGGCTGTGAGGGACTGGTCTTCACTGGGCCTCTCTTTCCTGCCGACAACGCTGCTCTGAGGCAGCAGGTCGAAGCCTTGCAGGGAGCCTTCCTTCAGTATAAGAAAGGTGAGTTCTGGACCTGGACCTGAGCCAGTCGCCAAGGGAAGGCCCCAGGCGGGGTCTGTGTTTGGGTTTGGAGTTCGCCGGGCCTGAGGCAGGCCTGGTTCTAGGACTGAGGGCTCTAGGATGCTAGTGGGTTTGGACGATGAGCTGGACCTGGGACTGGGGCAGGACCTGGGGCTAAGCATAGGGTGGGGCAGAGCAGGGCAGCCACATGGTCCAGGAGCTGGAAGCAGATGCCAGGGACACTGAGCACGGTGTGGCCCCAACACCAGCTAGGGCTGGTGCCAGCATGGTCAAGACTACCAGGCTCCAGCCCCCACCATCACAGCCACCTGTGACCCAAGCCAGATCAATGCCCCAGCCCAGTGAGGTCAGACCTTCCCTCCTGCAACCTGTGCTGGTCCCTGGACACCCCACTACCCAGGATGAATCTCTTATCTCTATGGGGCTAGGTGTGCAATCCCCTCAAGATGTTGCCGCCCAGCCCACAGCAGCAGTGACTCCTGACACTGTCCTGAGCATTGGGGCTGGGAAGCTGTGCTTGCGTTCACGGCTGTGAGGGTCTGACCTTGGCATGTGGCCATTGAGAATCTCACCTGAGACAGGCCCTGGGTCCGGCAGGGTGCAGGCTGCCTCTGGGCTCTGCCAGTGCTGGGCTCTCCCGCTCCTCCCTGGGTGTTCATGGTGGAGACTCTCCCCTAACCTGGGTGCTGAGGAGTCAGAGGCTCCAGCAGCACAGCCCAGTGCCTGTGCCTGTGGCATCTCCACCTCAGTCCCTAATTCCCCCCCTCCTCCCCGCTTTCCCCATGTCAGCTTTGAGCTCAAATCATTCAGCAAATCTCATTGATCCAAAGAGGAGATTCTGAAGGAGGAGAGCACACAGGGGTGAGACATGGAGTTAGCTCCTACGTACCTAAAACCACTGAGTACCCACGTACCAAGGGTGAGGTTTCAAGCATTTGGTATGTCTCCCTCTCTCCACAAACATGCATGTGTGCTCACTCCCTCACATGCACACTGATGCAAACATAGGAAAATTTGTGATATGCACCTGCCACATGTGTGTGTGTATTACACACATGCCATCACTCACCTCACATGCCCCTGCCACTTGTGTGTGTATTACACACATGCCATCACTCACCTCACATCACCTACACCCAGGAGCACACATGCGTATTCACACACACCAGGTGGGCCTTCAGTGCTCCCATGTGCCTTCAGATGGACGCGTGGCCATATTCGTGTATGCACACAGACCCAGCCGGGTGCATGTAGTGAATGGCAGATGAACTCCTGTCCATGGCTGCTCTGGATGCCCTCCTGAGCCTGTGGAGAGTCTGCCCCCTGATCCCATGTGGAAGGGTCGCAGTGGGTCAGGGTGCAGCCTGGGCTCCTCCCCAGCCCTTTGGGGCTGGAGCACAGCCCTCTCAGGAGCACTGAAGGCTTCTATGCACAAACCCAGAAGTCAAAGGGATGGAAAATAAGCCCGGCCAGCATGGCCCAGTGGATGAGCATTGACCTATGAACCAGGAGGTCATGGGTCAATTCCTGGTCAGGGCATGTGAACGGGCTATCGGCTTGATCCCCAGTAGGGGGCATGCAGGAGGCAGCCAATCAATGATTCTCTGTCATTATTGATGTTTCTATCTCACTCTCACTCTCCCTTCCTCTCTGAGATCAATAAAACTATATTAAAGCACGCGCGCACACACACACAAAGGGATGAAAAATCAGATGGAATGAAAACAGATAGTTGAATGTCACACAGGTGATGCTTTTATAAATTGTATTCCCATCTTAGAGATGAGGAACTGGAAACCCCGGAAAAGGAAGTGACATTACCTTGTCCACTGGACAGTCATGGCCAAGGCAGGGCTGAACACCTGGCCCTCTGACTCCCAGACAAGCCTCTCTCCAGCACTGACTCTCTCCTGCCCCTGACGCCCATGCACCTCTCAGCTGTCCTTGTCCTCTCTCCCAGCTCTCCAGCCTCACCCATATGCACACCTAGAGGCCAGCACTGGGTGCACACAGTGCAGAAATTAGCACAGCGCTGCCCTCAGATGGCCCACCCTCTCCTGTTCTTTCCCACATCCACACCAGGCACGGACCTCCCTGTCAATGCCTCATGCCCTGCTGTTATGCAGGGTCCACAGTGAGATCAGAGGGAGCACTGTCCTTGTTTCCCGCTTTCAGAGGCTGCGGTGCCATTTCACTGCACGATGCCAAAGCTTCCCAGTCCCTCCCAGTAACTGGGAGACCGATTTTGCCCTGCAACATAGGTGCAATAGAGAGAGCACATCTCAGCTCTAGTGTGTGATCACAAAAGGGTGACTCCCCAACTCTGCATGTGATGGTCACATGATGTTGAGCCTCTTACTTAATCTCTCTGAGCAAAGTGTCCTCATCTGTAACTAGACAGGCAGATCCACCTCCCAGAGCGCACTGCAGGGCTGGGGTCTAACCATTGTCCTCCCTGGTGCTCTGAGGCCCTATATGGGAGGCCTGGGGCTCTGGTTGGAGCACAAAGGTCTCAGAGCCATGGAGCTTTGGCAGGTGCCCCCAGACCCCCAACCTGACTGTGCTCTCCTCCTAGTGGAGCTCTTCCCCCACGGCCGAGGTGTTGGCCAGAAGGTCTTCAAGACATCAGGCTTTCGGAAACCTTTCCTGGAGGCACAGGAAGTGTGCGCACAGGCTGGGGGGCAGCTGCCCTCCCCACGCTCTGCAGCTGAGAACGAGGCCTTGCAACAGCTGGTCGATGCTGAGAACAAGGGTAATGCGTTCCTGAGCATGACTGACGCCCAGACGGAGGGCAGCTTCACCTACCCAGGAGGGGAGCCCCTGGTCTATTCCAACTGGAACCTCGGGGAGCCCAATGATGATGGTGGCAATGAGCACTGTGTGGAGATATTCAGCAATGGCCTGTGGAATGACATACCTTGTGAAGAGAGACGCCTTGTGATCTGCGAGTTCTGAGCCCTCGGGGTGGGTGGGGCAGCCGTGGTCCAGGAGCCTGGCCCAGGCCCGTGTGCTGCTGACATGACAAGGAAGAGCTGAGGGCTCTGTGGCTGGGCTTCTGCACAGAGCTGTGAGATGAGGCCAGCCAAGGGCTCCCATGACTCCTCTCTCAGAATAAAATACAAAATTTGCTTCACTGCCTGCTCTGTCAGAGGAAGAAGGGCCAGCCTGCTTTCCCAGTTGCAAGGGATAAAATTATGCCCCCAATACAAAGGCTTCTCCTCAGCCCTCTGCCTCCTCAAACTGTCAACCCAGCTAGTCACTCCCTCCACTGTCACTCCCTCCTCTGTCACTCCCTCCCCTGTCACTCCCTCCCCTCTCTGTCACTCCCTCCTCTGTCACTCCCTCCTCTGGCTGTGGTGTCCCCTTATGCCAGTTCCTTATCATCCTCTTTTGCTAGCCCCTCCTCCTCTTCTTGACCACTTAATGGCGACCTGCTTAAGCCTTAGCCATCTGTTCTCTCCCCTCCTCACCCTCACTCCAGGGATAAGCTCATTCAATCCAGGGCTCAGATCCCTGGCACCCACATTACATGCCAACTCAGGACCTCCCGGAGCCCTGGACCCCTTGGCCAATGCCAGCGGGAGCCCTGGGCAGGGCGGTTCCTTTGGCTGCTCCTTGTTTCAAGGCCTGAGGCCAGGAAGGTGCGCAGCTGTGGGCTGACCTAGTAGGTCATCTGCCTCCCTGGCAGGACTGTGTGGCCCAGTTGAGTAGCCTCCTCCGCATCCCTGAGCACCAGGACCTCATTCTGCCCTGTCATTGTGACTGCCTGTCGGCTCATGGGAGGGACACGTGCACATCCCCCTTCCAGCTGAGATCTCAGGCACAGAGGGTCCCGCCACGCTCAGGTTCACCCCCAGTCCTGCCCTGGCCTCCGTGCAGGAGGTTCTTCCCCCACGCCGCCTCAGGGACAGCTGGCCAGTTCCTCCTCCTCCTCCAACAGGGGGGTAGTGGGGGGAGACTTGCTCAAGGCCCCAGGTGTGTCAGTGCTACAACTTGGTCCCGTGAAAGGTCATCTGATCCCAAACCTTATATTTCTGGCCTGTCAACTTTTAGGCCAAAGGCCTCTGTGTACCAGTTGATTTTAATGACACTTGTGCTTAGGAAATTGGAAGGACACCTGGATGAAGCCCAGGCTCATGGGAGAGGCAACAAGACAGGCAGGCAGCCCTCCTTTGTTTCCAGGGACCGGAGGCCACACCCCTCTTCCCACTATTCCACAGCCACACTCAGATGTAGGACAGCAGGTCTGAAAGCAAAAAGCCACATGTAATCACCATGGTTTCAGATGGGGACGAGGTTTATCGGTATTATCACTTAGTAAGTTATGTAATGACTATCCACTGGGATGTACACCTGAAGTTAATATAACACAGTATGTCACCTATAATTTAAAAATTAAAGATAATTTAAATAAATACAGTGATTATTGATAGGTTTAAAAAAAAGAGGAAAAAACCCCCACACCTTCCAACAGCTCAGTCTCTGCTGAGACATTTTTCCTGTTACTGAAAAAAAAAACCCCGCCAAGTCCTGGCAGCTTCTGAAATATGTCAGTGATGCAACAGTGAGCAAATAATCTTCAATTCAGAAGTCACACCTGGACACCAATCCACCAGGGGGCTTAGAAAGGTATTGCATTGCAAATACAAAGGAAAAAGCAGTGGATATGGTTTAAGCCCAGGGAGGCATTTTTTCTAAGAATGAAGAGTTCTGAGGTGGCTCAAGGACTGCGGGTGCACAAGCAGCGCTGTGCGGTCTCCCTGCTTCTGCCTCTGCATCCTCGCCTCTCTTCCTCCTTCTCCCATCACCTTCTGCTTCTGGCTCTCAGCTGCCCACGCACAGAGTCATGTGTCACACAGAGATCAGAAACTCTGGCTTGATATAAGGTCAAAATTCCTGTGGAAGTGAATCTGCCTGTCTCAGATGCCCGCCTCTGGCCCAATAGACTAGGCCTGAGGGTGGACGACACAGCACAGTATGGACACTAGGACCCATGGGAGGG